CTCTGAAAGGATCCCAGTAGACCTATTTACACGTTAAAGGTTATGCATATATCCGTATCTTACAAAAATCATGTACATCTTGAATGCGTTTCTTATTAGAAATAACTGTTCAAACAACTTCAGTAAACAATGCCTGGTCTGGGGCTTTCTTAAGAATTTGTATTTTGTTCCATTTTGAATATCCTTACTACTTGAAACCTGAAGTCTTCTCTCGAGACACACAAGTCACATTTGCCCTCCCCGTAATGTATCACCTCCCTTCTGAGGTGTCCAAAACTTGATGCAAGATCTTAGGTGGACTAAATTCTATGCTTTCCCCTTAAGCCTAACGAGTCATTAAAAAAGGCAAGTGGGAAATAGCATGGCAATTAAAAACAGAATATGGAAGAAAAAATTAAAGTAATGCATCCTTGGACTGTAATTTAGAGAATTTATTAGTCATAAAACCTTGATGAGTTATTCTTATGACAAAAGCTGTAATAATAAGAAAAAAATGATAAAAATAACGAACGCATTAGTATGACAGCAATTGTAACAACTATATGGAATGACAGAACCTTCCTTTGGAAGGATTTAGCTTCATAATTACAATCCTACGGATATCTTTTAATGCCATTGTTTCGGTAATATATTGTTAATTTTGTCTTGGAAACCTTTCCACTGAAACTACTTGCATTTTATCTTCCAAAAATAAACACGTCTCTTGTCTTCTGTGAAGCAAACTGCCGGGAGTTGTGCAAAAAAGTTCCATAAGAAAATGAAAGAGTGATGAAATGAGTCTGCTAGTAGGTTTTGGAGCAATCCCTGTCTGTGGATGGGGTTTGCAGAGCTCTATAAATGTGATTTATATATTTGGGTGGGACTGCAAAATTAAGCCGTTTCATATATGCAAGAAGGGCACTGTAAGGGTGTCTAAACAAAAGCAGGCAGATGGCTGATGTGAGTCACTATGAAAATAAATAACCGGGGTTCATCCAGCAAATGAAAACTCTCCTGTTCAATTACGGTCCCGTAGGGAGCAGCAAGGGCTGCAGGATCAGACCTTTAAGTGCTGAAGACAGATTTACACATCAGCAACAGAGCCGGGCCTTCAGTCCACCAACCGCTATCTCGGTCCCCCAGTGCAGAAGTCGGCTGTCGGCACCGCGCAGGCAGGCTGCTGGAGCTGGGGTTGCAAACACTGATACTGTGTTCGCAGACGTGCAGCCGGACAAATTCCAAGCTTTATTTCAATTTCTCGGCGGCGGTACCCACCTAGGCTTAGGTGTTGTGTTTCAAGCCTGCATGAGAGAGAACGGACCCTGGCTGAGCCTAGGGGAGGAGTGGGGACTACCCTTTGGAAGGACTCGCAGTCCCTTTGTACGGTATCTGGGGTTACTTCATTGGAAATACCACAGGAAGCAGGAAAAGAAAGATTTGAATTAGACCCTGCAGATTGAGTTTCAGAATTAGAAACTAGATCCTCCTGAAATCCCACCTGCAACCGAACTCTAAGCACAGCCAGTTCTGGGACTAAGATTTAATGTATCGCTTCTACCTAAACTACCACCCCTCCTGCACTTCCTCCCCATTACATTTCTTTACGCATCTCCCCAGGAGACAGACTCAGTGTCTGATCCATGTTTCAACAGTGCACAGTCCACAAGCAAACAAAAAATAACAAGCAATAAAGAGAGGGACCTGCAGCAGCGTGTAGTCAATAATACATGCCGCCGCTTCGCCCAGCTAAGTGAGGGTGTTTCTCCATTGCATGTGTCAAGGCTCATTTAATTTCCCAAGCAGCTAGTGTCCTGACAGGCGGGTGAGTAACACCTATGTGGTACTTGATGTATTTAATGGGTGTCTATGAGCTGGTGGGAAGCTGGGGTCCTCCCAGAACCGTATGATCTCTGCCAGAAATAAACATCAGTTGGAATGGAAGGGCTCTGATAGGCACAATCTGTTAGCAGCAAATTGAACTGTCACCCTTGTATGTCATGTTCATTTGGCTGATTAAGGAGATATTAATCTACTGTCATTGTTACAGTATCTGTCATCCCAGGGAAAAAAAAACCCAAGGATATGCAGGCAGCTTTTCTGGATATATATACACACAGAGAAGGGAAAGCAGAGGCGTGCAGAATACAAATGAAACTCTAATCTGCTACAAATATTGAACCAACTACAATTGATTACAGATGCACATCTAGAGCAAACAATGGGTCCCGCTTCAGGTAATACTGAAGCTGGCTTTTGGCTAGTTTTGACCACCCCTCAAAGGCAGTAAGGTGAATTCTGTGCAGTCATGCTTTGCCTCCTCAGAATACAAACATGTTTAGCCATCCGTATAATGGGTATGATCAGGTGTTGTGGTAAGGAGTTTCTGATACCATGTTTCGTTATTTCAGGAGGCAACATCAAATACCTTCCGTGCTATCTTTGGTAAAGGAGTGCAGAGACGCCAATTATTTTCGCTGAGTGGCTTCAAGGTAGGAAGCTCTTGAAATGGTGAGCAAGCCTTGCATTAAAGCCTGTTTTGTTCCTCAGATCCCAGGACCTGTTTCTGAAATACATGGCGCTGGATTCACATAAAATACCCAGAGCAAACTGCAGCAACACTGCAAAGAACAATCTCAGCTCGTCCGCCAGACAGTTTCTTCCTTTCTTCTACCTTTTTGTGCCTTTCTTGCCTGTTTGTCTGCACGTCCCCCACTGAAACGACTCCTACATCCTGTTCTCAGCAGCATCCTTTCCACCATTTTATCTGAAAGAGATCAACATTGAGCTAGATTATTATTTTGAAAGTAAAGGTTAGACTGTACAAAATCTGAAGATGCCACATCTGCTATAGAATAACAGTGCACCGAATGAGGTCTGAGGTGTAAGCATGAAATGCCTCCAATTTAGGGTAATTAAGAATAGTGTTGACTTACAGCAGCACAAAGTTAACAAGAGTGAACACTGACTACAGATCTCCTCAGAGAAAATTATAAAGGAACAAATTCAGGTCTAGCATACGTAGATACTACTCCCACTGGCTTTCACTTGAAAACTCTGGTAAATAAATTGAAACTTCTGGGCAGTTTCAGATGGAGATAGTTCAGGATATCAATGTCAATGCTGGTTAGCAGAATCCTTTAATGAGAGGCAGGCTGCCACAGCTTTTATTTAAGAGCACAGCTGCCATTAAAACAGGATTTTAATGAATACGCACACACAAAATCTCACCTGCATAGGTTCTTACTCATTTTTGTAGTGGGAACATTAATACAATCTGAAAAGCTCAAGAATACATCATTAAAAATAAGCTGCTTCTTGGATGAGAAAATGTATGCTAAACCTCTCCATCTCCCCTTACTTTTGCAACAGTCTTCATAGTTTATATCTGAATCAATAACTATTTTAATATGGGGAGTTTAGAAAAGTTTGATTCAAATTCCTTTGACACAGTTCCATCAACATCCAGTTATAGAGCCATTCTGCATATGACTTATTAAATATTTAAAAGATTCCTATTATTGAATTAACTATTTATTGATTTATAATTTAAAAGATTTATGCTTGGCCATTAAAAAAAATTCCAAGCTGACTTTCACTTAAAGAGATGTCAGGTGCCATTTGCTGCTAGTGAATGTCTAATGTACCCTTTTCACCCCTAGAGTGAAGAAAGGACAATTACTCAAGGACCTCTGGTTCAATATTCATACTGTTTAGATGCTGAGGTCTGTGGTTGCTTTTTTTTCCTGCGGCATTAGGTCATGCTTAGCAGCGTCTATCCATCCCACAAAATCTCAGCCTCCATGGAAATGCACAGCTTGTAGTTTCTCTCCTGTTACATTTATTGATTTGCATCCTGGCTGAATTTTGCAAGCCTTATGAGACTTCCCGATTACATTCCTGTGGCAACGATGTTCTTGCTGAGATCATAAATGCAAAAGGATAAACACACATAGATACATACATGCACAGTTGATCCTTCTCTTCTATCGCTGCTCTTACGGGGCCTGATTCAAAAACCTTTTCAGATTGGGAGCCTTACCTGTGGCAAATAAAGGGTCTTTCTAAAATTAAGAATGGATTTAAGAGCTCTGCTGAACTGGGACCACAGAAATTAAAAAATACTCTGAGCACTGTAATATTAACTCCCAACTTTAAATCCAACGCTTATCAGGCTGTTGCTTTGCTCTTTCTATAAGGAGCTGGAGTAAAAAAAATATTAATATATTGCCTTTATTTAGCACCTTTAATCTGAGGCTCACAAACTGCTTTACCAACATTAATTATTTAAATCTGGAAGAGCCCCTGAGGGGTGTCTATTATTATAATACTCCTTTTACAAATGAGTAAACTGATGCATAGGAAGGTTAAGTGACTTGCTGAAGGCCACACAAAGAGTCCACACCAGAGCCAGCTATAGTCTTTCAAAGAGAAGAAAAAAGGGGATAGAGCAGAATAAATGCACTGTCTGTCCTAACTGTACAAATTCAAGATATTTCCAAATACAAACAGAAACACTACTTGGATCTAAAGGAAAAAAAGAAACAGAAAACACGGGAATTACTTTTTTCTGTACACATCTAGTAAGGGTCTGCTTCAGATAATGATCTCTCACTGTTTGTTTTACTTTTGACTTTGGGGACCTAAGTTTTAGCGATACACATTTTTCTACAACCCATTCTTGGCTCTATATCAAAACCACACAGAGTAATTAGCACAGGTCTGTCAGACAAAACTATATGCATTATACTGTAGAATTCATTGCTCCAGTTTCTCCAATCCGTGAATTATAAATAAAGATCTCTATGACTTGAAAAGGCGGCTTGCTCCAAGTAGTAACTATTTCAAGTCTGCTATATAGCTTTCCTAATGATATTGCTGGGGGTTAGGGATTAACCCTAGGAAAATAATTTTTGGAATATCAGGCACGAAACTGTAATAAACTGAGTTAAAATTGATACAGTAAGGGAAAAAGAGAGTATTATGGAGCCAGAGAAAAGGAAGCTCACTCTGGTGTGATATGGGAGAATACTTAATATACACACACACGTATATTTATATGTGTTTGTCTTATCTTTATTCTTCATAAATGGGCACTGGAAAGTAACACTTGGACTCCGGCAAAGGTACAGAAGGTCAGCTCAAATTAGAAAGAAAAAGAGGTGAGGCTCAGACTAGCGAACAGCATACTTATTCATCAGCAATGAAATCTAGAGGTGTTATTTCAGTTATAGTTGTTCAGATCAATGCTTTGGGATGCAAGGCCCTGTACTCTATCCCCGCTCTGCTGCAGAATCCCTGCTGGCCACGGACAAGTCACGGGCGGAACAGACTTTGCCACTCAGATCCCCTTGGATTAGCCTGCAAGGTCCCTGTTGAATGCAGACAAATTCTGTGCAGATCTACCCTTTTCTTTCTCTGCTGCAAAATGGGAATAGCAGTTCCCACCGAGAAGTGCAGTATGACCTTGATTGGTTTATAGATGTGCACTTTCTGTAAATGAAAGGAACTATATATGCCCAATACATGACTGCACAAAATAGTTCCTGACTGGCCACAGCTGTCAGATTTTTGCTTCCTTTTTTCTTTCATGGGTGATGGATCCAGAGCAATGCTGTCTGCTGTGGCATTTCTTTCCCAAGCAGTGGGTCAGAGCTGTTCACAACACAGGCTTACAAGTCTTCTTCTGACCCACTCAGAAAATGATAGGCAGTGATTTATTTTAAGCACCGACATTCCCACTTGGGAAGAGGTTTGTTTTAGAGCTGCCATTGCCTATGAAGTGGCTAGGAGGGACGTGTGGGAGAGGGCTTGGCAGGGCTGGGATGCTGTGATCCGGCTCCCAGCGGAGTTCTTCCTCACCTGGTGCCCAGCATGATCCGAAAAAGCATGAGCAGACAGTCCTGGTATGAGTACAGGAAGGGATGAAGATTCACCCCTCCGGGGACACCACTGACAGACAGGCTCTTTATCGGCTATGTCACTTGTAATGGACTGGAAACTGAAAAGCCCACAACAAGGAGTCAAAACGAGTGTCTGCCTCTCTCTGCAGAGCAGGAACTCTCAGGCAGCCAAAGATAAACCATCTGCCCTGCCAGCCCTGATTAGAAGCTGCACGCTCACAACTTGTTGGCTGTCCAAGGCAGGAGAATGCACAGTGAACGGATTCCCACTGGAATTTCCATAAACCCTTGGCCATTCAGTCAGTTCCACTGGCTGTCACTGTACCTTGTCCTCCAGAGCCATACATCAAGCAGCCTGGCCAACGAATCCACCAACGCTGAGCAAAAGTTTTTAAATGTGAATGATACATATTCTAGAGCCAGACCAGAGCTACGTGCAGTTTAGATGTCCGTGCAAATTTCAGATGCTTCTCAGAACTTCTCTGACGAATCTGATCCGATCAGGAAACAGGCTCCTTCCCTCTGCTTTTAAGATGAACCTGTTACAAATGTTCTCGAGCTGCAGACATGTTATCAATGATGCTCAGGCAATTTCAGTGCTGTCCATACCCCTCAGGGAATGCCATCCTTAAAGGCAAGTGCCTCCTCCTGCTTGTAGGCTTTGCTTGACCTAGGATCCAGAAGTCACTGCCAAGGTAAAGGTAAGATAAAGTTGTGAGTATGTAATCTGATCTTTGGCAATATACATCAGTGCGCAAAACTTACATCTGAACATTGAATAGCCCAAAACACTTGTTCTGTAATTTATAGCCAGGCCAAAATGATTTGCCCTCAATTGCAAGTTTTTCAATATTAATCCTAGATAGCCATCACAGCAGCAAATACAACGTGTCATGTTTCATCTTAAAATCAAATCCTGAATTTTATGGTACAGTATACAATGCTTACTTATACATATGCAATCACACAGAATAGTCAAGAACATATGCAGGGAGTAGTAGCTATATTGCTTTGATATTTAAGTACCTGCGAATTACAACATTGCTATGTAAATACATGCATGCACAGAGACAGGCAGACTGGAAAGGATACATACATGAATAGGCTAATTCAAAATGAGTGGAGGCAAAATGAATTATTCACTCAAGGTTTTTTTATCTGCATTATTCACAGGATGCATTGGAACACAATTATCCACTTGGTCAGTAGACCTCTGCCCAAAGTTTACTATGTTGGACTTGCTGAAGAGACAAAAAAAGGTTATTTCACAAACTGAGGTTCAACCCAGCTCTGCATTTAACAGTAATCACTGCACACCAAGATTAATAGAACATCATTCAGTGACTGAGAAAGCAAGTTATGATGAAGAAGCTGTTGAAACAGGAAACAGTTGATTTCCCACGAGTCCCGTAAATCCACCTCTGATGTCCTTTCAAATTCTCTGTTATTGCTGCAAAAATTTTAAACACCGGTAAGAAGGTGAAATGGCTGACATACTCATTTACCACGAGAAGAATTGTGTTCTGGGTCTGCCTTTGCAAACTGGTTCAATGTGCTTAGCAGATACATCAAAAAAGAGAGACCTCCTCGGAGGGGCTTTGGAATGCGTGATGGTACCCTGGGATCAGCCGCAGTTCAGCACCTCCCTGCCTTTGTTTTGCCTCACCGTTACCACTTAGCACCCTCTTGCTCTCCCACAGCATTCTTCCCCTTCGGCATCTTATTTTGGGGTCTCCAGACTTTCACATGCCTATAATGTTGTGAGCTGGGAAGACCCTGGTAAAGGGCTTGCTAGGCACTTCTGCACTGTACATTCCTTCTAACGTTAGCGACAGCATGCCGTAAATCTCTGCTAGGCATGCAGCAATCCAGCCAAGAGAACTCTAATACCATAGGATTTATTTTATTTTATTCTGTTTATTTTAAGTCGACTAATTTTATACTAAATTAGGTCTGATGCTGTTCTGGGTATTTTGCCAACTTTTAAATTGAGCCACCCAAGAAGGGAAGGCCAGGTACCATCTCACAGAGAGATGTCAGCTTCGTTTAGCTGCAAATCAGTTAAAGGCAGATCCAGAAACAGAAGATAATACTACATAGAGTTATTTTTTTGTTTAAAAGTCTACTGATTCTCCGCACATTTCATCATCCATAATTAAGAGCCACTGCAGCTGTCATCAGCATAGTAGCCCATCAAAACACTCAGGAAAATATGATTTTCACAATTCAGACCCTACATTCCCTCAGTGTAGGGAATCTGGGTTCAATTTTCAGCTCTGTTACAGATGCACCACCTTTCTGTAGACAAGTCACTCTCTCTGTGACTTAGTTCACCACTTGCCAATGATGTGTGCCCAGCTTGCTTTGTTGGCCGTGTAACCTATTTAGACTGCAAGGTAACACCACAGCAACTATTTTCCACAATAAGGATCTCTTGACATAAATGCCTCACCATGACATTAAAAATGACAGTGTTGAGAAACTGATAACCAGCATGTGATTCTTGAAGAGTCACAGAAAGTGGAGGGTGCAGTGTCCACACATGGACTTTGTTTGCTATTGTGCTGAGAAACTAATTTTTCAATATCAGAAGTTGCCTTTTCTTCATGTGTGTTGAAGCATTATTAATTTTTCACTGCATTCTTTACTTTTTCACTAAACAAGAAAGAACAAAACCCGGATTTAAATCCACAGTTGTCTAAACATTTTTGTTTACATGCTTTCCTCCCTATATGTCACTTTTACTGAAATATTTTTGTGCATGAAAAAGGGCACTGTGCTGTTTTCCGTAACAGTATCAGCAAGTCAAAAGCACTACTCATCAAGGACTAAACTCCCTTTCCATGCATCAGACTAATATGCTTCCTGAGAGGATGACAAGCACCTACTGTATTTCTGTGCTTGGGAAAGAGACACTTTTAAAACCAGCCTTCACAGCCAATGCTTTAGATTCAGTAAATCCGAGTGAACAAGAAAAATGCTTTTTGCCCTTTCCATTTTATTGTCATTTGATGGAGATGCCATCAGTTCTCCGTATTCAGTGGTCCTTGAGCGCGGCATGAAATCTGGTCCTGGAGCCAGCTGCTTCTGCCATTAAACACAGCCAGGCTCCATCCTTATTGCTGGAGTTTAAGAACGCAAAACACATTTTAACCAACAGGTCACATTTACCAAATCCTAGCCATGCATGACTTTACTATGTGAACAGCCCATTCTTATGTTTCTTCATCAAGGAGTTTTTCTTCCTGCTTTCTCAGCTGTACAGTGTCTCTGAATTTTTTTCTTGGCTTGAGGTCTCTGCCTAATTATCTGTAACCTTCTGTTCGAAGATCGCTGTCCTGGCCTGATAAAAACCAGTAACTTTGAAAACAAACTGGGTCTTAATTTTCCTTGACAGCCCTTCTTTAAACATGTGGGCAAAGCCCTGGCTTAATTAAATGCACATTCGTATTCCAAACAAATTAAGTACAATTAAGGACTCTGAGTTATGGGTATCTATCACTCGGCGATGTTTTTGTAAAAATTACCACATTTAGATCAAACACAGAGGACCCTTTGCTTAATTGCTTCATTAGGGCCCGATGCAATAGGCTTCATAAATACAGGGTCTGATGTCTCTTTGGGAATTGCCCAGAAGACGGCTCTTAAAGTAATTGCTTCCACATTTCTCCCCGTGCAATGTTCATGTGCTCACTGATGAAAATGGGATGGCTCTCAGACATGTAAGTGAATGCGGGTCCCGTCTTGTCTTCCAGCATCATGACTCTTGCACAGCTCGCAGAGGCAGATAGGTTTGGGCCCCTGGTTATTACCTGTTCAGTTTCTATGAGGAGTTTGACAATTCAGACAGGATAAGGCTGTCTGCAGTATGCTGGTAGCACAGTGCTTTTCTCATATATCACCTATAGATCCCACAGACTGAGGTAAACAGGATGCTTTGGGATTTATTTTTCCAGAAGTTGCTCTGCAACACTAATGAACTCACAGAAACATCAGATAGATAAGTCTTCAGGTCTTCTACTAGTTTTATCCCTTTAGTTCTTACAAATGCAGTTATTGTGACCCTTTAAAAAGAAAATCTATTTACAATGATTGCTTTAGCTGACCACAACCTACTTTTGATTAAATTAAACCTTCCTTCAAACACACCTAGACTAAGGAATCCAGTTAGATTTAACCCTTGCTCAGATTAATGCTGTTCAGTGCATATGTATAATGTGGATGCAGAAAGGGATCAGGGCACAGGTTTTTTTCTCACGAGATGTAGAAAGAGCAGCAAAAGAAGATACACCATTCTTTCCTTTTTTGTATTTGTTTTCTGGCTTACTTGACAGACTCAGGAGTTCTGCGTTTTCACTGTGGAAGCCAAAATAACTGGTGTGCACCCAGAAGCAACAATAACGATTGCAGCAGAGCTAAGAGGTAGTGGGAGCTACCTTGACAGAACAATGAGAAATGGCATGTCATTCTCAAATCAAACGTTTGCAGCATTTTTGTATTTTTGTTCAAAAATTCCTGTTCTTTACCAAGAAAAAAGTTTAACTAAAAGGTCTTCCTCTCCAATTCTTACTCTTCTAGCTCCCTTTGTAACTATCTTCTTTTTTTTTTTTTTTCTTTTTCATTTGCTCTTGAAAAAAGACAGGGAGCAGAAAAATGGAAAGAAATAAAAGGGAAAAGGAAATCCATCTTCCCCAAAGAAAATGCTTCCAAGTTTTTATCTCGTGCTAAAACTACACAGAAAGACATTGTTTCTTTGATGAAATATTTTAGTTTCTAGAAAACTGCAGTTTTTCTTTTGAGATCATCACTGGTTGCACAGAACTGCTAGCAATTTAAATCCGTGCAAGTGAAAATGGTTGTACAGGGGTTGAGCTGTTTCATTTATGAATAATATTAGTTCAGCATGTTAATGTAATTTCATCATGGCCACACTGACAAGATCAGTGTTGACAAAACTGGAGACAGATGCAGCAGAAAAAGCAGAAAACAGGCAACAAAACTATTAGCGCTGCTGCTGTAGCGATAGGAGTTCTCCAAACATCAAGATAAGATAAGGTACCTCTCCCATGTTGCCCTGCTGAAAGTAATTTAAAATCATACAGAACACAGTTTTCCATGGCCCATTCTCTCCAGCTGTCTCCATCAGCTGACGAACTTTTGGGTGGGAGATAGCCCTCTCCCACAAACAGGGTGGAGACACCCTTCCCCCCAACATTTCATGAAGCATCCAGAGTTCGGCAGCTCAGCCATCTAACACCACTGCACCGCCATCATTGAGCTAACCGTAACGTAGTGTCTGACCATCAATCCTTTGAGCCACCTAAGCCTCTAGATCTGCAGATTTTGCAGATTTATCCTGCAGATAACAGCAGGATAAAGAACTTAGAAGTCATAAAGAATGCGCTAACAGCTCTTCTGTAAAACAGAAGTCAGCCTGATTTCCACAAGTTATAAACGTCCATCAACCTCCAGTGGCCAAAGAAACATAGCTACTTATTTTCTGAGTGCTTTATTCTCCAGACCAATTTTCCTCAATGCTAAAGCAAAAAAATGAACGGCAGATTGTCCAGTTCATGACTGGATGGCTGGCAACAGAAATCCTATTTCCAAACTGACCCCTGCTTTCCAGCATGGCATTCATTAATTCCACAGTCTCACATTTCTAGGAAGATGTCAGTCATGTATGTGATTTTTCTATCAGCTATTAATGCCAGATCACAAGGTGAGAAAGCAGGGGTTTTAATCTCAAGACCCTCAGGAGATGGAGCTGCATACATTTGGTGTGAGCCATGTGTCTGGAAATGTCAAGGACAAATATTTTTAAAGTAAGGAGTGTTCATATCCATGTGTAATCTTAAGTACTACAGAAGTGATCCAAAACACAGCCCTTTTCTCCTTGTTACGATTGTTCGGCTGTAGCAAGCTTACAGCTGCTACTTCCCAGGAATTAGGTTTAGATCATCTAATTAGGCACCTATGCATTTAGGAATTTGCGTATTTAAACTGAGCGACATTTTAAGGCTCTCCTAAAGGCTTTGCCCAGGGCAGAGTGTTTCGTTTTCTATATGTAGAAAGGAGAAGTTTTACTGTAGGAACAGTAAGAATTCCCTATCTGTCTCCAAAAATTGTTTGTTCCTTCATTCTAAATATGAGATTAGTTCCTCGCCTCTGTATTTTTTGTCATTCCCCATTAGGTTATTCTCCCGTGGTCTGCAAAATCAGGCACTGAATTTATTACAAAGTCCCTGATTTTAGACCTAATTACAGATTCCACCTTCCTAGGAAATGCACAAAATCCCCTTTTCTTTCCGTCCTTAGCTCAACTAAATGATAACTTTGAGTCCCATTATAATCCAGGTGTCAGACAGCATACAAATATGCTACTACTGCCAGAACAGAAGTAAATTACTGAGAAATATACATAAACCCTCTTAAAATGCCATTTATGTACATATATTTTTAACATAACATACAAAGAACTAGCACCGTGTTTTACCTTTTCTCCTACAAGTTCCACTGAAAAATCTAACACTGTGAAAGGTTCCCTCAAAACTGTGATGTCAGAAAAGTAGAAAAAAAGACCAAATTTCTCCAAATTTTTTGTAAATTATGGACTTGCTGGTTACCAGTTCAAGAAATGCCACAGTCAAGGGTAGGAACAGAACCTTACTCCAGCAGATGAACTCTTGCCAGCAGGGCGTACTGATGCCTGCCACAGGATGGCTACAATGGTAGACTACAGCGTTACCACCCCTGTGAATCTTAGTGGGAACACAAGTGAACTGGGAGAAACAACAGTTCCATCCAACAACAGAAAACCCTCTGCCTCACCAGCCCATAGCGTCATCAACAGTTGAAGAAAACATTCGCATGACACCTATTTCACATGCCATTGCCCATTGCTGCAACCAAGGAATGTTATTTAACTAACAAAGAGTGTTGCAAATAGTTACTCATTTGCCCTTCACACGCTGTCACCAATTTTCTTTCTATGGGCCTACTTACTTATAATCATTCAAGTTCAAGACTAAAGGGTGTAAAAATTGTCAGCCTTCCTATTGATGTGAACCAGGTGCGGGCATTTGTGTGTTACCATGTAAAAAGTGAGAAAGAAAGAGAAATCTCTGTAGAAACACTGATGGCGTGCACCCTTTTGAAATCTTTTCCTAGATAGCTGCTCTATTGCTTGAAATACAGATCTGAGTCTGCTTTTAGCTGCTAACTGCGATATAACATATTATCCTACTTATTGCATACAGTTACAAACATCTTGTATCTGGAAGCAACACGGGAGAAGGCTCCTTTATCAAGTCAATCTCAAATCCCATTATGTTCCTCTACAACAGTTTCCGTAAACATTCAGCAATTTTCAGTGTCTGAGTTGCGTCGCTGAAGAGGTGCATAAACAGGCTCCACTGAAATGTGAAGATGACTGATAATGTACTAACATTGAGACCCCTTGCTGTGATTATTACCCCCTGAGTGCTCCTTACAGAATGTGCCTCTTATCTCACACTGACAACGCTAATAGAATATGCATAGCCCTATTAGCATACAAGATAATAGCACCCTGGAGGGGACAGAGCCATAAAACTTTAAGTAGAAATCAAAACAGGAGGAGGAAGAAAAAGGGAACATTGTCACAAGCCAAAAAGAAAAAAAAAAGGGAGCCTGAGGGCAAATTTTGCTGCAGAAAACACACATAGTCATAATTCTTGTGCTAGTCACCATGCAAATGGTAATAGTCTTTAGTCCCATGAATACTATCAGTGCCATGTTTGCTGTGAAACATTAATTGAGATAATGTGCCCCTTTCGGATGCAGCAGGGAGTCGTATGTCAAATTGTACCACAACAAAATTATGGCAACATCTGCAAGAAATACACAACAGCAATTGGGGTACCTTGCATTGGATAAGTCCAACTGGGTCTTTGCCTTTGCAGATGGAGTCTGTGGAAGAGCTAGAGCCTGCAAGGGGAGGCAAGCAGCTGTTACTTCAGACGACACGTGTGTATACCTGTAGCTTACTACTTTTCAGCTGCTGCCCAGTTAAAAGCTTTGCAGGTTAGACGTGTTATCTCTTGACCCTACTGCAGTCACTGGATTAAACCTCAAGCAGTTCTTTGAGTGCCAAAGCCTTTCTTTAGTCACGTCTGCCCACTGCATTCACATTTGTTCCATGTAACCGTCCATTGTACCAGACCTTTCACTGCTCACCCATAGCTGGCAGACAGCCATGCATTCATATGCTTTCCATCTTACAGCAATAGCCAAAGTAAATCTTTCAGTGCTTGGCACAAGAGTGTGAATTCAATAAAAAAGGCTTCAAACAAGTTTGAGATGGCTTGTCTCTAAACAAACGAAGAACAGTGAGCTTTTTTAATGCACATTGTGGTTCAGTTCCTGCCTACAGCTAAATCCAGATAACCCCCAGCAGCAGTGACAACCCTGTCTGGTAAAATAGCCACCTGTCAAGTGGGCATGAAAATATCCACACATCTAGGCTCAGAGGGGTTGGAGGGAAGTGACCTGCTTCTTACCAGAAGCTTCAACAGGGACAATCAAAGGTCCTTGTTGTCTTCTTTGTGAGATCTGAAACTTTCCAATATTAGTGCTGAATGCATAGGACCCCAGGGTAATCGCTCCACAGAGCACTGTATGCTTTTTCCTTTACAGAAAGATGGTGTCAGGAGGTAACAAGCACGGGATCCCTGTGGTGCATTTTGAAGCATCATGCAAAGTTTTCTGGGATTCCTCCTAGCATTCACTGTGGTTTCTATAGAGCTAAACTCTTTGTAAAGTGGCTTTGTGTTGCAAAATTTTGCAGCTTGTGGGAGTCTGCCTGGCTTCATTTTGGTTGATGGTACTTTATGCTGACTGTTTCAGCAATTAGAACACAGCTGGAAAAGACTCTGGTAAAGAAAACCCAGCCATTTTGGAAAAGGAAAGTAGAGTGAAGATTAGAGGAATGATTCCTGAATGTACCTCTGTATGTGTCCATGTGTGTATGTGTGTTTATGCATGCATACACCCTCTGCGTCTGTGTTATCACAGGCAAACCAGCTCATCTCAAAAACATACAGATTTTTAGAGACCGCTGAAGTATTTTGTTTAATGTTCTTCTGCAGTTGATACAAACTCTGGAATAATTCCTCATTTTCTCCGGGAAAGATAACAAAACACCAGCATATGTAGAATAGGAACTAAAGTTACCTCATGTGAATTATACGTTATCTCCATCCTAATTTTTCAGACTCTGACTCTCTGACTAGTCTTATTATCAGGAATTAAACAAGGAAATGCTACTTCCACAAAAAGGCATCCCAGCATTGGCTAATGCTAATGAAATGCCTGGGTACCTACACCTGAAGAAACACCACTTTGTGAACAGCTTCTAAATCTGGGTCCAAATGAGATCTCTGAGGCATGTCTCCAGGAGAGTGATGACTCCTATCACTCAAGCACAGCTGGGAAATCTCACTGAATGTTGGTCAATGCTTGGCACATGTGGGAGGAATATTTTGTACATTGTGTGATTAGCAATTACCTGATTTAAATTGCTTTCTGTATGCAAAAAAAAGAAATTCTAAAGATGCTAAAAATTTGGCAAAAAAACTTTAGACATGTTGAACTATGACAATGAGAATAAGAGCAAAGTTTGTGCACTTGAGATGAAAGTGAGTTACCTCCATCACAGCTTCTATCTGTAACTTTTTGCTATTTCTCCTTTCGTATCTTTCTTTAGTGAGGCCCAGCCCCTGTATTTGGACCTTGCTGTGCTCACTTACTGAGTCACGCCTCAGTTCAGCAGGGCACCTAAACACAGACTTCTTTCTAAAAGTTTAGCCTACAAATGTCAAGGTTTTGCTTGTGGACATTTCCCGGCTAGAACAGTAGACAGCCTCCTAGTAGAAAAATTGTTAGTTGCATATTACTTACATATTCATCCAGAGAAGTATAGGTGCTCCAACACAGCAAGGTTCTGGGTATGAGAAACACAGAGCATGTGTGCGCTTCAGAAAGACAAACAGGGAGAGACAGCATTATCAGCCAGCTCATTTCAACAGCAGTCATTTAATGCACAAGTAATTATTCCAGAATAAATAAGTATCTATTTTCCCCATACTAAGGCATAACTTTTATTTAGCAGACATTATCTCCAAGGATCCTTAGCAGCTCAGGACACAGCAAAGTAATACAGTGCAGTCTGGATGTTGTTATGTATTTATTAAGTTGTATCAGGGCCCATTTAGTAGCAGCTCTGCAGTTTATCACGTAAATATCGAATGCCAAATACAAAAGAGAAGAAAATAGCAACATAAAAAATTTATCTTTGCGGGGAGGAGAGGGAGAAAGGGAGAGAGAATGGTGCTGATAATGTGATTGTGCCTTCAGCAATAGTGGCTAATATCCTTTTGCAAGGGGCGCGGTATAAAAATATTCCAGAGCTGGGGGAGGAGAAGTGAAGAGAGGGGAGCCTAGCTGTTGTTTGTTTGTTTTAAAGTGTATTCTGGTTGCAGGCTAGGTCAGCGGGTGGCCAGACTGAGAAAATGAGTCCCCCGGGCTGTAATAATTGTAACTGTCAGGGAAAAAAAGTCAAGGTCTTAGATAGCAGTGGTCTGCTCTGACTTCTGACCATGGAGAAATATATATGAAAACTATTGCCTGGGGCACTATGGGAAGAAACCAAGAGGTTTTAACTCATGGTGGCTTGCGCTTATGAATTGGAAAACTCATTTTGCACCTTGGTGGTTTGTATCTTTATGATTATTTTCATTTGCAGTATAAATGAAGCTAGAAGTATTTCTTTTCCTTATGCCCAAATTTGCGATGCAATGAACCCCTGCTAGACTAGCTCTGCATTTCTGAGTCCCAAACAGTATAGAGCATTATAACTGATCTTTTAACAGTGGATATGCACAAGAGGAGTCTGAATTTGATTATCTCTTGCAATGCACTCATCATTTACCTGAGTGGTCCATAGCTGCCTTCAGTGGATTAATCCAGAATTATGCACAGGTAACTTCACTGACTTCACCAGAAATATTCTTAGTATAAAAGCAGTGCAAGAGAGGGAGAAGAGGTTGAAGAATTTAAACCACACAAGATTAAACCTTGCAAACGGGGCAGGGGCGGGGAGGATGGGGAGAACCCATAAACCTGGTTTCTTTATTCTTTTTTTTTTTTTATTATACAGCCATGGACTAGCTAGCTACTGGTCAGGCTTTTTGTGAATCAGCAATTTGCCCCTTTATTTAAGGAAGTATGGGAGCTCTAATGAAAAGTTTGCTAACAAACCTGAGCCCACAGGATAACGTTTTGGTTGTCTACCATGCAGTATCAGGCTGGGAGCCTGGATGCATCCTTCCTCTCTCATATTGCATCTTTGCACTCCAAACCAAAGGGAGGAGAGACAAAGCTGCAAACCTAGATCTGCTGGTGAAAACAAACTGACGTGCATTTCTTTGAATATTCCTTCCCCACCATGCTCTCAGATTCCCATGCACCTTTGTTGCATTGGCCCTATCTCATCCATGGGGACTGAGTAAGAAAGACATAGTCAAAAGCAAATGTTGGACAGTCAACCAGCTCATTTGGCAGGTATATGCACAGAGCAGAGGGACATTTCTGAGAAGCACCTTTGCCTGCACATCTCCTCAACGTTCCTGAATGCGTTTCTTACATATCATAAAGACAACTGTCCAAAGTGGAAAAAATTATGCGGAATCAATCGTATTCGCTACTTATGCTTTGAGGTAGGCAAGAATGTAGCCCAGACGCTTTCCTTCTTTTGGCAGGGGTCATCTGAACACAAGAACAGCTGGAAAGCAATACTGTGACACAGCATTGAAAGGTTTCTCGATCCTGGACACTGTTTCTATTTGCATGGGGTGAAAACAAAACCATCTGAACAGTTGCAAAATTCAAGTGTGTCAGGTCATCTGTCCTGGAGCTTTCAGTGTGTCCCTTTGTCTTTGGCTGGAGAATAAACTCTGATGCTGAGAAGCTTCCTCATCAAAATCCATGTCCCTCTGCAAAACGTTCTGGCTTCAATTAAATGTTTTTTTTTCACTGTAAAATGCTTTGTTCAAACATCCCAGCTTCTCTGATAGCCTTCTAATATGTATTAATTAGTAAATATAATTCCTTTAATATGAATTAATAAGGGGAATTGAAAATATTTATATACATAGTGAGACCCAAATAAACTCTATAAACATCAAACGGCAATTAATCCCTGTTTGAGGGTGACAACAGCATGTAAGGTTTTGCTGGTAAAAGAGGATAATTATTGCCGGAATGTGATTTACTTGTTGAAAGTCACCGTAATAGTGAGCTGGATAACTTTTACGGGCCCCCTCTGTACTTCACTCACCTTCCTTACAGCCTGTCTGTGTCTTGTGAGGGAAGTACAGCGTGTGTAATGGAGAAAGAGAGAGCAGTAATGTTAGCAAGGAACGAAGTCCAGTAGAGCAAATAGGCATACATATGAGGAAAGAATATAACAATGGTACTCATGTGTTTCAGCATTACATAAATAGCTCCCCTGCTTTGTCTCCCAGTAGCCCCAAATCTCAGTAATTCACATTTCATTGTTCATTGCATTTTACAGAGGCAGCAGAAATAAGAGACATGGCTTGTGAAAAGAGGGACACTAATTTAGGACCCTCTTAAAAGTTCCTTTTCCTCTGTAACAAGGCAGCGCTGAGAAGAGCGTAGCAGAAGCAGAGACTCAAATACCAAAAAGAAACACCAGCTCCTCTGGCCTGACCAGAATAAGAGAGCCCAGACACCTTCTCCCTCTTACCCTGCACTGAACCTAGCAAGTTGTGCTTAGAAAAAAGTACATTTTCCAAAATGGCATCCAGTCTCAATTTAAAGATTTCAGGCACAGAAAACCTACCATTTCCATTTGATAGTTGTTCCAGCAGCTAAGAGCTTCCAGTGATAAGAATAATTTACCTTATTTGAATTTGTCCTCTCACTAGTGATCTTTTTTTCTGCCAATGTGAGGACTTCTTCAGGACTTAAGTCTTCTCTACCTGTGAAGATACTGATACATGGTAACCATATTGCCCCTGGATCTTCATTTCAGTGATAAATATTGGTTCATATGGGCCACCCCAAGTCCTGGAACAAGGAATGTGGTCACTGGGTAAGCAAAATGCACTAGTGCAATTGGAACACCTGCAATGCCTAAAGCTTCCTGCTTTGAAGATAGGAGCAGGAAGCCAGAGTGGAAATCTTGGCTCCTGAGGGACTTTCCTGATTTTGAATCTTGTTGAGCCTTCGCTTACTGATGAGCTCACCCTGAAGACAGGCACAGGAATTCGTGGGGCTCCCCTCTTCTGAGCTTTTCAGAAATGCCGGCCAGCTGCACTGTTATGTTTGCAGGAAGGAGACAAAGGTCCAGCTGCACTACCTGTGCAGCGGGCTCTCTTCACACTTGGGTGAGGCACAGCACCATGCTACAGCAAGAGGGTGAGGCACAGCACCATGCTACAGCAAGAGGGGTTACAGCAGCTCTACCTGTAGCTTGCTAATGCAGCTTGTGCCCGGACAAGCAAATGATTGTTCAAGCGATTTTCTATTTTAAGGTGAAGGTGGTACATGCGGAAGATCTCAATGTCACTACAAAGCAGGGAGGGAGGCTGTAAGGAGGAGGAAGGCAGAAACCTTCACAACTAATGTCAATTTTCTGCATCAAATATTTTGATAATTAAACAAAGCTGATCAAGAGAGGAAAACAGCATGTCTCCAGAGCTCCGGAAGCAGAGGCCCATTAAATAGAAGAGTCAGAAAGTGCCAGAGGCGGCAGCCTCAGATTAATGGCACTCCAGTAATAGATTTTCCCAGGCACAGTCACACAGGAGACAACTACTGTGTAGCCAGAGCAGCGACGAGGCCGTTAAAGCAACAGTAACATTAAATCACCTGGTACCACGGGGTGAGGGGATGGATGGGAGCGCATTGGCTTCGGCACTGCAGAAGGTGTAAAGCTCAATCTGCTTTCAGGCAGAGGGACTGGATCCCGGTGGTCATTTACAGCAGGGAAAACAGGCAGCTCAGGTGTAGGACGCATATAAAAACAGATAAACAGTAGTTCCAGAAGGCTGGCGAGCCGAGCACAAATATCTCTTCCTGAAATGGAGAGGCAGGCATTAAACATCAGAGCTTTTGGTTTTGCTGAGACTGACCATGCCTGTTTTGGTTCGGTTGCTCTTCTTTTCTTAATCAATTATCAAGTACTGGTTTTATCTCTAGTGTTTCTCCACTGACTTTCAGGGTGTTAAAACACCACCTTGAATTTGTTTAAGTGCAGCTAAACTTCAGGAAGGGAATGGGAGGGATGGTAGCAGGGTGAGAAAGCAGCCTTGTTTTCTTATTATCAAGTCAGTTGTATCTCAGCAGTGTCTGAACTGACCCTCCTTGAAATATCCATCTTGACTAAAGCATTTCTATCCATTTTTATAATACAATAACAACAGAAAAGAGGGCTTCTTCCAAGCCAGGCTGGCATGGATTAGAGTCCACCGCAAGAGTACTTCACTCTCAGCTGGGATGTATGGAAACCAGATGAAGTGGCTGAAAATCGGAAACAACTTTTAGACGTACTTGAATCCTGATACGATCACATCACAGGGATGGGTTAAATTTATGATCTTATCTAGGATTTTTGTTTGTAATCAATCCCAGACCTACTGGCTATCACTCACTATAAGCTTATGATTTCCCAGTACTAACAAGGAAAAGTTGGGACATCAAACTATGAGGGAGTGAAGCCAAGCTATGATATTAGCAGATAGGATCAGAACTGGAATGCAGAAACAACCACCGCCCCCCAAAAAACCCACACTACAAAACAAAAGAAAAACGATAGCCTCCTGCAGCCTGTAAACTTCAGCCTTTGTCTCTCTTGGCCCATGCTTCATACATCAACTACAGTGTGTGCATAAACCCCAGTTTCCAGGCAGAAAGATTTGGGGATAAAAGCTAACAAAACAGAAATTAAAACAGAATACCCTGAGATCAAAGTACAGCTTCAGCATGGAATACAGTTGGTATCCTTAATCATGCACATGCAGTGGGACATGCAGCAAAACGCACCGATTTGCTAGTCTTCTCCTTCTGAGGTTATAGTAATCTCATCATACAGTGCTACTTATTTCACTGGATTCCCTACCACATTTACCATGGCAAAGCCTGAACCTTTTGCAGGTGGCTTGGACAGCAGATGTCTAAGCGTATCCTTCGAGCAGCTTTGACCCTGGTGGCTCTCTTTGCTTACTTGAATGCAATTAAAGAGAAGAACTGCAAACCAGGGATAGAGCCCATGGCACAAGGATATAGCCAATTCTAAACAATATTAGGCAGTTTTCACAATTCCAGGGCCAGCATATGAATAGGGAAGTTGCATATATTTGTGCACAATACTTCTTTGCAACTTCTCCCATTTTGATTCAGAGAGGCCTGTTTTGATACAATATTAGACCCAGTCTAAGTCAGGGCAGAAGAACTACTCTTCCCTGATTACCACTCCATTTTCCAGGTTGATCGCTGTTGAACAAGGTACTATGAAGCACTGGGTCTCTTGCATATTTACCCACAGCAGATGAAACTTGCATTGCTTTGGAGTCTCCCTCATATTCAGCTGTGACAAAGACACACTGGAATTTGGACAACATTTCAGTCTAATTATGTCATCAAAACTTGTTTGTATATGACCATTCAGATGGTAGGAATGGCAGGGCATCAGGAGTAAATACCCAAGTACACGTGCATTATTTCAACTGTCTCCCTTCCTCAGGTTTCCAGATCTATTAAGAGCTCTTTGCACGCCTTTTCCCGAGGATCCTGGCATCAGTGGCACATTCTGGTACTCCATTTATCTGTGATGGGTTGAAGAGAAACAGACTTAAAGGCCAGATACCCCTCACGGGTTAAATGTAGAAGTTAAAGTACATGCTCTACAACAGTCGTCTTATGTAGATGCAGCAGATTTCCCTAATAGGTGACTATCCAGCTGCAAATAAGCATCTCAG